AGGATTTCAGAGATTTCAGGGGCTTTGGGAATTTTCAGGGATTTCAGGGTTTTCGGTGATTTTAGGGATTTTGGGAATTTCGGGGCTCCTGGAGTCCATGGGTTTGGGGGGATTTGGGGGAATTTCGGGAATTTTTGGGAATTCGGGAGTCCCTGGATTTGAGGGATTTGGGGAACTTTGGGAATTTCGGGAATTTCGGGGCTCCTGGGTTCCCCTCCGGGGCGTGGCTCCGCCCCCGCACGTGCCGGGGCCACGCCCCCTCCACGCGGCCCCGCGCTCCCATTGGCCGCCGGCCGCGGAGAGGCGTAGCCAATATGCAAATGAGCGGCGAGAACCCGACTGTGTTTATTGCTTTGGAGGCGTGGCTTCTGGGGGCGGGGTGCGAATGGCGCTCGCCGATTGGTCGGAGGCGGGGGGCGGGTCGGCGCGTGGCTATTGGCTGGGCTGAGGGCGGGGCACGGCGGCGCGTTACTATTGGGCGGGCGGCGGTGGGCGGGGCGGCGCGGCGCGCTGCGATTGGCGGAGAGGGGAAGGGGCGGGGCCTGGAGCGATGGCGGCGGCGGCGCTGCGGTCCCGGGGCGGCGGAGCGGTGAGAGGGGGGGGCACCGGCACCGGTAACCAGCCCAGCGTCACCAGTAACCAGCCCAGTGTCACCAGTAACCAGCCCAGTTACCCCTCCTCAGTGACCCAGCCAGGGCCCCCAGGGACACCAGTGACACCAGTTACCCTCATAGCGACCCTCCCAGTAACCCCAGTGACCCGTCCCGGTGGCAGCGGGGGCACCAGTGACACCAGTTACCCTCCCAGTAACACCAGTAACCAGCCCAGGGACACCAGTGACCATCCCAGTAACCCAGACAGGGACACCAGTAACCCCAGTGACCCTTCCCAGTTACCCCAGTAACCCCAGTGACCCATCCCAGTTATCCCAGTGACCCTCCCAGTAACCCCAGTGACCCGTCCCGGTGGCACTGGGACACCAGTAACACCAGTTACCCTCCCAGTAACCACCTCAGGGACACCAATAAACCCTCCCAGTAACCCTTCCAGTAACCCCAGTGCCACCAGTAACCCTCCCAGTAACCATCCCAGTTACCCCAGTAACCCATCCCAGTAACCCCAGTGACACCGGGGACAACAGGAACCTTCCCAGTAACCCCAGTGACCCTCCCAGTTACCCGTCCCAGTAACCCCAGTGACACCAGCAACCTTCCCAGTGACCCCTCCCAGTAACCCCAGTGACCCCTCAGGGCTCCCAGTCCCCTCCCAGTTCTCCCAGTCCC